TTCAGCATGCCCAAGAGGATCTCCGCATATGTTTGAGCCAGAGCAGTAGTGATTTTGTATTAGATAAATAACAATTTATTAATAAAAGGTTTTTAAGTTTGGTTAAAGTATCTTTTTATTTCTATAAAAGTTCTATTACAATCGCCTTAGGATTTAATTTTTTTTTTATTCTAAAAAGTAAAATAAGTTTAATTTTTTAATTTCAGAAAGTTTATTTAAAAAAAAAGGTATAACGTAAACATTTTCTCTTGTTTAAGTTAAATTTTGAAAATATATCAGCTTTCGCAAGTGATCTTTTTTGATGTGTGTATGTATAGCACTGTAAGTGCTTTGTTTTTTCGCATACGATATATCGTCTTGTTAATGGGGAAACCAACTAAACGTCAAAATAACAGAAATGAGATATTTCATTTCAAAGGTTTGACAAAGAAAATCTCTTGTTTAATATCGTATTTGTAACTTGCGTTAAACATTAGTGTATAAAACAAATATTTGTCTTTTAAGTTCAGTATTTTTTGTATTCCTAAAGTCTATTAATGCCATAAAAAAATAATTTTATTGTGATATTATTTGTTTTTCCCTGTATAACACTAAAATGTTAATATTTTATAAAATAAAAACTCTAGTGAAGTTTTAGCTATTTTTTTATGTTTTCCCATTATAATATTGTAGCTAGCACAAAAAAAAACGAACGAAAATTTTAGTTGGTTTTACTCGACTATATATAGAGACAAATGCATATGTTTAACTAAAATTATTGCTGAATAATAGCGTTTTTCCGGTTCAACAAGAACGACAGTCAAGAGTGGGAAGCAGTTTTTGGATAGGCGACTATGTTGCGGCTCGAAATTGCAAATAGGGGCACGCATACACATGTACAAGGCACCGGCGATCGTGACGCGTTTGCAGGACTGGAGAGTTGTGGAGAAGATAGAGAACCAGATAGATCATCGGTACATACGATTCAGAGTCTCCCCTACACCTTAATTAACAAACAATCCACACACCGTGCCTAAGGTGTGGGTTTTCCAAGATGGACAGTTGCTAGGTTAAACAGAAAGGCAGTTTAGGAAGCCTCTTTAATCTTCCAACATCCAGAATATAGAAGAGTCCGCTGACTGTTGGGGAGGAACGCTGGCATCCATTTGCAACGCCGCAATGCCAAGGGCCAGTACCAACCCGCGCTAAAGGCAAGTTTACTGGTGGTCCTAAGATATATAAAACCGTCAGGGATGCCGATCTTAGGGCAAGGCGAGCTTTGCGAATATAATAATGATTACACGGTTAGTAGGAGAGGAAAAGGCGCTTATCCTCTCCTCAGAACTGTTCTACATAAATAAGGGAGTCATGGTGTCGCGTCCAATGGTATGAGGGGTTACACAGGGATCGGTTCCTTGGAACACTATTGTGAAATATTGGATACGATTGGGTTGACTGTGGGGTGTAACTTCCTACAGCGAATATGTTATGTTACACAGATGATACGTTGGTCACTGCTAGAGGGAGCGACTATAGAGAAGCAAAGAGACGAGACACGTTAGGAGTCTTAGTAGTGGTTGAAAGGAGAAGGTTGCTGGGTCTAAAAGTAGCGGTGTTCAAAATAGAAGCAACCTTTTTTAATGGTCCGGGTGGTAAACTGACCGGCTGGGGCATATATCACTCATATGGACGGAGAGAGTGCCACTGAATGACTGAAGGCTCACATTAAATATTTGGAGCTACTATTTGATGGCTGTTGGCGCTTCGACAACCATTTCCAGTGATTTCCATTATTGACTTCAATAAAGCTGATTAATTATTACAGCACTCGTGTAAGCAAGCACTAGATGACGTATGAAGTACGCGGCGCATAAATCAAAGCGAAAAAAATATAAGGCGCGCTAGTCGGTTGTACGTATTTTGAACGTGAATTGCTCAACTATACTATTAAAAACGACTAATACGAGTTAATACGTATTGCTTTTCTATTATTTCATATAGCGATATCCTAATTATTGTTGGGTACAAAAAACTGTATTGGTTAGGTATGAATTTATTTTATATTTAGTTCTGCTCATTAAATTGTACTATAATGTAAAAAGTTATTGAGGTCGGATAATATAATATTTTATGTTCAGATTTACACAGTGAATCATGAAGTAATAACTAAAATTTATTATATAAGCATAATACGTTTTACTCAAAGATATGGCATAAAAATAAGAATAATGTTTTGATATTTGTTTTTAAAACTCCTTTTTAATGAAAAATCCTAATTTAGTTGTTATTCACTTGCATTATCTTTTTACCTATGCATTATAGAACGAAGAGGGTTTTACTACTTAATAGATCTCGTTTTTTGAGTAAAATGTGTATTTTAATTAAATTTTGCAAAAATCGGCACTTAGTTGGTTTTCCCATTAACACGACGATATATACGCCGTTATATTTTAATCTTAATAGATTTCACGTTAAAGAAGCCGTGCGTTGACGTTGGTTGGGCACTTGGAAAGAATATAGTAAATGAGAAATTATTGACGAAAGATTATGAAGAGAATGTCCGAAGAAGAAGAAGAAGAAGTTGGAATCAAAAGAATCCACATCCGCCTCAATCCGAAACATTGAGTAATCAGAATCGGAAAAAATCGTTCGCCCAGAATATCTAATGAATGATTAGATCCTGAAAGTTTTCAGGAGCCACGATTACCCGAAAAGTAATGAAATATGTAAAAATTGAAATTAATTTACCCGAAATGTTAAGAATTATGTAAAAATTGTAATAAACGTGTAGGGAAGGTATAATTTATGTTTTTTATTTATTTTTAAGCATTTAACTGCTAGATGTTTAAATCTAAAGAAAAGTTTACTAGAAAAAAATCCAGGCGGACCAGGCAGCGGACGGGACGCGAACCCGCACCCTTCGCTATCAGGGCGAATGCACTGACCATTATGCTACCACGGCCCTATTCGCCGCGTCGAAATTTTCCTAGCCTTAAGCTGCAAGGCAGCGCTATCTCTTCGCATTGTAGGTAATCCACAATGTCAAATGAATACTTTTTCAAGTATTAAACATTTGAAAGAAGAAATAGCAATTATAGTTATGTTTTTTATTTATTTTTAAGCATTTAACTGCTAGATGTTTAAATCTAAAGAAAAGTTTACTAGAAAAAAAAACCACGCGGACCAGGCAGCGGACGGGTTGGTTGGTTGGTTGGTTGGTCGGTTGGATTACCTACAATGCGAAGAGATAGCGCTGCCTTGCAGCTTAAGGCTAGGAAAATTTCGACGCGGCGAATAGGGCCGTGGTAGCATAATGGTCAGTGCATTCGCCCGGATAGCGAAGGGTGCGGGTTCGAGTCCCGTCCGCTGCCTGGTCCGCGTGGATTTTTTTCTAGTAAACTTTTCTTTTTTTTCTAGTTAACTTTTCTTTAGATTTAAAGGTATAATTTATTTTCAGAGAATTGACTGAAGTCCAGTTAACATGCCCATAATAAATATTCGACAGTGAAGTGCCATGAATTTAAAGACTTATTCATAAAAACATATTTTCATTTTATAGATAGTGGTGTCAATTCTGCCGTGATTCTTTAAACTTAAACTGGTTATTACTCTAAGTTGATATATCTTAAACCGATAACGTGACATAGGCACAAAAGCCGCTAGTGATTAAACTGAAAAACTGGGCATTAAAAACATTTTTAATTACCATCTACGTTCGTCGCATCGTTAACTCGCCAGAATCGGAATACGTAATTAGGAATTCCATGAATACTTCTGGACGAAAGCGATGGATGACGGTGAAAAATTATGTTTTAGATCGATTCTCGATTGAGCATGAAAGGGACAAGGACAACCCAAGGAGTTCATAGCTAAAGCTCCGCTTGATTACACATACCGAATAAACGGGCGAGACAGTAAAATGTTTCTCGGCCGGGACAGTAAAATATTTCTCGGCCGAGACAGTGATGTAAGCGAGTAGCAGTGTAGAGTACTAACTCAACACTCGGCGCTATGTTTAAACGTACCGAGTACTCGGCCCAGAGATCGGTACGTGTGATCAAGGTACAAGTTGCATCTATGCTTTTCCCACACCTGTATGACAATGTTTCGGGTGGCTTTGCTTCTAAAATGCGCTTAAATTTGCGTGAATGGAGGAGCGTATTTACTCCTTCACATACAAGTTGATCGTTTTCTACAGCCTTTTTAGCGTATCTAAATAATGCCAGTCAAGTTATCGTCAAGCGTGTATGGAAACGCAGCCCTCTAATTCACTACGATGGAACTTATTTAAATTTCGAATTCAAATTATCGCAAATTTCGGCGTATTTGTTCATTACATTCTTAAATTTAGTACCAAAGCCACCCGAAGCTCCATCTTGCAGATGTGATGGAAGAGGCATGAACCGTAAGCAGTAGAATACTTGGTTTAAGTTTTCATAGAATGAGTTTTATCGTTGCTGTTGCGTCTATAGCAACAAATAATGTTAAAAACATAACACTACGAATAAAGAACCTCCTACTTTTTGTGTCAATTTAGTTAAAAAAACAAGGGGGTCGTGCTGTATTGCAAATGTTTTGTAACTATTATCAGCCATTAACGGGAATTCGTTTAGGATTCCGACTCTCATTGCATTTGGCTGGTTTTTCACCTGTTCCATTGAAAAGTTGTTGTTTCTGTGGGCTTGCAGTGAAGCGAGTAATATTTTAAGAGCTTCATTAATGGTTTTCCTAGAAAATATCTGTTGTTGGTATAGGAGATATCGGCCTCTTGTAGATGTGAATATCCTTTATCAGCATGCATTTGTAAAACCTCAGTAAACCATAAAACGCAAGTGATTACTTTCTCAATGTGCATTTGCAGACAGGCAAACTTATTTATATAATATATATTTGTCACACATTCCACCTAAAATATAAGTAAATAGGTATACATGAGCGAAGGATTTCGCTACATACCAATGAAGTACCAATAGATTTCATATGTTAAATAAAAATCGCTTTTGTAAAAGTAAAACTTTTATTTGCTTTATATTACCTACTATATTGCCTTAGTCGTCGAGATCCATCGATTTTTTTGTATTTTTCTTTACATTTATGCTTCTTATAAAAAATATACAGTGATTAATCCTTATACCATTAAACATGCACAGTTTAACATCGCTAGAAAAAAGTTAAATGCAGAATTTTGGTACAATCGGAACAAGATTTTAGTTAGATACTGGTGTCGATTCTAGCATGATTTTATAAACAAGGATACACTGTTGTCAAATTTAAGTTTAGGTTTAGAGAATCATGCCAGAATTGACACCATTTCAAATACAAAAAAAAACTTTTAATATTAACAATATTTAAAGTTGCTTGGAGGAGTTTGTTATATCTTACCTAATTATGTTATCAAATACTGAGAACAAAAAAAATTAATACAGAATCACAAATATTAATTCTTAAACTATTTTTAAAACTTAAATCTTTTTAATAAATTTGTCCTTTTCAAACTTTCAATTCTTTTCTTTTCAATTTGTCAATATTTTCTTTGATCAACGTTAGAAAAAGCGAGAAGTTTCCTCTGTTTCGTTCTTCAAACATTTAACCGGTCTTAAGTTAGCCGTTTGTTTGGTTACGTCGGCGCTGGTTTAGAACGGCTGAACTGTACTTGTTCCGATTGTGCCATGCCTCTGGAAACTAGCTTCTCACTATGGAATATAAAAAGTTTATTGTATTCCGAGATATAATACTCATTTATCCCAAAATTCGATCGGACGCGTACATCAACATAGCCGACGCTGCCAGGAGCCTCCTAGCTCTGCCTTATGTCTGGATCGAGTGCAATTTTTCTAGTAAAATTTTCATTACTTTTGTTTTCATTTCTCCTCAAAATGGCTATGGTTAGTTAGATTTCCCGCTAGTACCATCTAATTACAACCTTACATCCCGTAGTAAGTAGCCAGCTTAAAGTATTTCATCCGTGGTCTCGTTTTAAGGTGAGGTCTAGTTCGTGGCGCTTCTAGATGTATTTGTCTATGGTTGGGTCCCCCGGTAGTATTACAACAAATTGCATCCCATAGTGAGTAGTCAGTTTTGTCTTTCGTTCATTGTCATTATATATATCTCATAAGTGAGAAGTCAGCTTCAAGTCTTCGGTTCGTTATTTAAGCTTCAATTATTGCGTCCGTTGTTTAAGCATCAGCTTGAGACGAGGTCTGGTTGGTGGCGACGCTGGTGGTGGTTGAGGCGGTATCGGGGTCGGCCTCGCGTACTCCGAGCCAGGGGATGCGCTTCTGGAGTTCTGCCCTGGGGGACAAAAGGGGCGATGTTGTGTAGAAGCAGTTACGGTTGCAGTAGATAAGATATTGATAGGTACTACGTTATAAAAGGGTTGATCTGACAAAACTGTAAAAATCTACTTTTTTGCATGAACATAGGTGTCGAGGGATGATAAATCGATTGATGAGCTCAAATTTTAATCCGTGTTAAAAATACAGACCCTAGCAAAGGTGTTAAACTGACAAACATGCATACTTTTCAGGTTTGCAAATGTGGTAGTATGAATATAACACAAATGGGCTAAGGGGAAAACCAGGCTTATAGCATTTTTTCATAAATTGTTTTTTTGGAATCTATGGCCACAAAAATACTCATTTCATCTTATGGCTATCACAAACTCGTTATGTCTTAACTTTTTTTTACCCACTTCTTTCCTAGACTGTTGGGTGTTTTAAATAAATAGCTGTTATTTTTTGTTATTATGCAATTTTTATTAAGAAAATAATTACATCGGTACTCTTAGTATTAAATTTACTTTCAAAAATCAACTGCTTTATATGTATACGAGCGGATTTTCTGAGTCAGTCATAAGAAAAAAAAATCAACACACACGAATTAAGCTAGCCCCAAAGTAAGCACTGTAAGGCTTGTGTTATGGGATACTAGGGTAACGAATAGAATACATATACTGTACATAAATATGTATATTTATATAGAAATACATATTTAACATCCATGACTGGAGTACAAATGCTCGTACTCATCACACAAACATCTACCCCCACCAGGATTCGAACCCGGGACCTCTCGAGTCGGCGACACCATGAAACCCGGCGTGCCAACCACTCGGCCACGGAGGCCGTCAAATGCGTCGTAACTTTAATTTCTTGTACTGTAAAATTCTATTAATGTGAACTTAGCCTTAGCCTTAGCCTGTTATTCCCCTTAACCCTTCAAATGTGTTAAAAAACACCAGTATCCACTCATCCCTTATTGTATTTTTGTAAAAGCGACAACGCTAACTTTTATGTCGTAACTTCACATGGCAATTTCTTTGCTAATTGAAAATTTGACAAAAGGCTTCAGCATGCTAAGGATTTATTACTATCAAATAAAAAAATAGCAAATAAAAATAACCATGTGAAGCGTTAGCATAAACTTTGGTTGTTTCTGCACATGAATAAAGAAGCTTATGAAACTAAAAGATTATGCAAATAGATATCAGCATGGGTATGGAGCGCGTTACGAGTTGGAAAATCACATTACAAAGTTCTTGTCTCATTTTGTTTGCCTTATTTGAACTTGTAAAGGGATAGCAGATTCCTTTTCAAATTATTTGGAGTGCAAACAGGGCTGATCTAGAAATTTGCCCGCACCGTGCAAATTTTTTTGGCGCTCTTTACTGACGTACTTTACGTTTGACCCTAAGTCAATTTTGCCGCTCTGGGCAAATGCCTGGCTCGTCCCCCCTTGGATCGGGCCCTGAGATCAAATTCCAATAATAACAAGTAGGTAGTACCATCAACAAAGTCATCCCTCAACAACAAAGACAACAGGTTCCACTGTTTCAAAACTGTTTTGCTTGTAGGTACTAGATAAGTGTCGGTAGTCCCGCCTCTTGTCTATTTGACCAATAACTAACAACATGACTTATTTTACTGATTGACTGGTAGTCAATAGGTATTGTGTACCCATTTTTATGACTTTAGCAAATACGTCAAGGGATACTTAATTCTATTATTAATTTTTGTGCAGTGATTTGTGAATAAGAACAGAAGAGCGGGGCGATCCCTTGGTCAAGGAGTTATACAAAGGAAAATCGTCTTAAAGGTGGTCCAGTCATGACCTTGTTGACTAATATTTTAAAGGAGGACAATTACCTGTATCTCGGATGGTTGATGGCATACACCCAGGGGTCTATGCAGGAGACAATCTTGCAGCACACTGCGGGTATCATCGTTGCTACGGGCGTCAGCATACTCCTGCAAATGAATACACGCAGTTAACAGTACTGTTTCATCATCATCATAAGATCATAAAGAGGTAGGGCTTGGCGAATTTTCTGCTCGAATTGGAGTGCCCGTCGGTAAAATAACACTGCCTTTTCGTAGTATTGTGTTCGTATCGGTATGTAAGGTTCCTAAGGGGTAGGCAGGGGGTTTGCTCAGGGTAGGGAATGGTGCGAGTGATATTATTGGTATCACTACAGTCTATACTGGCCGCTTACCATCAGGCAGGTCATACTTATGCTCTCTTGCCAGCCTTTATACTTAAAAAATATGAAGAGATAGCAATTGGCATTGCCTTGCAGCCTAAGTTAAATCTAGAAGAATTTCAATCGAAACCAAACCTTTTATAAAAAGGGAAACAAAGGTAGATATATTAATTACTTACCTGTCGCCGAAAGCTCCAGTCATGGCGACGAACGCATATGGCGTCCAGCCGCACACAAACAGGAAGAAAATGGTGAAGGCCACTTTTGCGATCCTGATCTCCACGCTGCGACTCGCGTCCTCCTTGTTCGACGCTAGGGATTTGACGTTCATTTTCTTGGCTTGCTCTTGGAGCATCCTTTCATGGAGACGTACCTTGAAGAATAGGAAAATAAGAAAGATAAAAATTGTCAGTCGTTAGAACGCACGTCACAAGTTTTGTAAAAGCGTGCGCTGCGTTAAGCGGGACACGGAGCGGGCGCAAACTCGGCGTGTTTGTTTCATAAACCCGCCTCATGCGGTGCGGGCGGCAGAACCCACCTCACGGGCGGCAGAACCCACTTTGCGGGCGACGGTGCACGCACACTCGATTGGCTGTCTTCTGTACTCTTATGTGCGTTCTTTTTTAACCAGGCAGTATTAGCAACATATCAGTACTATCCATTATCGACTGTCCACCCACGCAATCGAAATTGTACTAGTGGCGCTGCGAGAGGCACCCGCGCCTCTCGAGGGTCCCGTGACGGGTTGAACGGGTCCCACGACGGAGCATGGAGCGCCGCTCCGTGCTCCTGCTTAAGGCAGCGCACGCCCTAAATATAATGAGTTCTTTATCAATATCGTCAAATTATGTCATCGGTGTCGATTCTGCCATGATTCTCTAAATCTAAACTTAAATTTGACACCAGTGCATCTTTGTCATTCTTTATACAGAATGAAAAGGAGAGGTTGATGTTAAATTTAGTTTTAAGTTTAGAGAATCATGCTAGAATCGACACCATTGATTAGTTAAGAGATTTACATAAGTATATTGTAAATCCGCTGTTTTTTCTGTATGTACTCAATAACCCATTTAATTATCTGTCCCAGTGGGGACATTAATGATGATGATGAGTATGTATCTGAGCACAAAGGTTAGGCGAGTGAAGTACCTGTTCCCTATCAAAAGTGTAGATCTCTTAGCGGGACGGTCACACAAACTTAATGCTTTTCCCCCTTTTATTTAAAAAAATATGATTCTAATCAGAAAAGCTCATATTGGTATTTATTAAAGTTGTCGTTATTGCTGCCTGCCTTTCAGCATAACTAAAGTGCTTACTTACATGAAGTAATAACATAAATGCATTTTTTGAGCAAATGTGTTGAAAATAACTATTGTGTGTTCTTATGTAAGCTAGAAAATGTAACAGAATACTTGAAATTAATCAATTTGAACAAGGCTGTCTTTAATTTTAATTATATATATTATTATTTTTAAGTTCGTCAGTGTTTTCAGTCTTCTTAGGTCTACACAGACGCGGCTAGTCAGTGTTGATCTGTTTTTTCAGTAGATGTTTATAGAAGCCGAAGTAAATAGCGGGTGGCCGTGCTCAAACGCATTTATATTGAAACTGTGGAGTACTCGCAAACACAACTATTACTACGTAGGTAGATTGGTTGAGGAGCTCGATTCGGTCTGCGATCATGAAAGTTAATGAAATATGACGAGATATCTCATTAACGCATCCGATATTACCGACCTTAGACATAACAAAAAACCCTTTTTGTTTTAATCTCAGTTATCGACCGATAATAACGCGCCTATGGTGAAAGGCCTTATGTAAAGCTTTAAGTACAATGGTCTATATGTATAAGTAAATGGCCCGCCTGGCTTGTTACCACCGTGCGCATGGTGAAAAACCCGTGAAGTGCTTTTCGCGCGTTTCGGGGTCAGCCAGCGTACAACCAGAGCTCGAGTGGAAGTTGTCGCGAAGGATTCGGTCCAGGGGAGGCATCCGTGGAACCGATGCCGGGAGGACTGCATCGACCCGTTGGCCAGGGAGACCCGTAGAAACGGCTGTCCCGCTGGCCGCCCGTGGCACAGTACAGGGGCCCAAGCGTTCCTAACCAGTTCGCGAAGCTGCCCCATCATGTCACGCATAATCTCGGGGTGGACCGTCGTGCCGGTTGGTGACCGGGGCGTGGGGTCCCGGCGGCCACTCCCGGGGGGGTGCGGGGCCCTTCCGTCCGGCGGGTCGGCGCATCTCCACTGCAGGCAGTCAATCGGGAAGACAAACCCCCCTTATTTGTCCGGACTCTTCGCGACGGCGTCCGCTCGTTTTCGCGTCTCTTTTTTTTTCACTTCCACCATGGCAGCCTCAATAACAAAGTTTGGACGTACAGCGGTGCACACCCCCACGCCTTCAACGCTGTTTGAGGTCGAGTTCTGCAACATACGTGGACTCCACTCTAACCTCAACGCTGTCCACCACCATCTCGAGACAGCACGGCCAGCATTGTTGTTCCTGACGGAGACACAAATACTTCCGCCTGCTGACACAGGCTACCTTAATTATCCCGGCTACGTGCTTGAAGAGTCCTTCAAAGCGAAAGCCGGTGTATGCCTGTATGTTCGGGCGGATGTTTGCTGTCGCCGTCTCCGCTGCTTGGAAGATCTCTCCTTCTCCATGCTGGGGGTACACGTCGACTCTGGCCCCCGGGCCAGAGTCTACGTGTGCCTCTACAGATCCCACACCGGCGATGTTGAGACAACTCGACTTTTTGAACACCTTAGTCGGGCAGCAGATGACGCGCAGGAGCGATTTCCCAATGCAGAATTGGTGTTTTTGGGGGACTTTAATGCTCACCACAATTTGTGGTTAAGTTCTTCCAAAACTGACCATGCAGGGATCTCTGCTCACACATTCGCTCTCACGCATGACCTGAAGCAACTGGTTGATCAGCCCACCAGGATCCCAGATATTCCAAGTCAAGCGCCTTCTTTACTGGACCTTCTGCTCACGACCCATCCACAGGGCTATCAGGTTGTGGTAAGAGCCCCCCTGGGCTCGTCCGACCACTGCCTGATATCTGCCAAAGCACCACAGGCCAAGCCTCCGCGTCCAGCAGTGGTCAAGCGCCGTATCTGGCATTATGGGTCGGCAGATTGGGACGGTATGCGTGATTACTTTGCGTCCGTCCCTTGGAAGCAGCGCTGCTTCAGTGACAGGGACCTATCGGGCAGTGCCGTTGCCATTACTGAGGAGATCATAATGGGTATGGAATACTATATTCCTCATTCTGATCTCATCAGTAAGGGCACACGTAACCTCTGGTTCAATCACGACTGTGCTGAAGCTGCTTCGCATAAGCAAGCGGCATATCGTGCTTGGATCAGAGGCCGCGCTCTCAAGGATCCCGGGGTCGATTCACTCAAAGCAGCCTACAATTCTGCTTCCAAGGCCTGTAAGAAGGCTTACATCAGAGCGGATGCCCAGCGTGTTGCACGTGTTGGCCAGGAACTTATAACGCATCCTGCGGGCTCCCGTAGCTACTGGCGTTTGGCCAAAGCCGTGCAAAAAAACTTCTGCCAGCCCTCGCTGCCACCTCTGAGATGCCCAGACGGAACACTAGCTCATAAGCCGCAGGAGAAAGCCGATTTACTGGCAAAACTCTTTGCGGCTAACTCCCGAATCGATGATTGCAATGCACTGCCACCATCATTACCTCACTGTGGCACAACGATGCCTGATATTAAAATCAGGCAGCGTGAGGTTCGTGCCGAATTGCAATCACTCGACGTCCGGAAAGCTAGTGGACCTGATGGCATCCCAGCAGTAGTACTTAAAAAATGTGCAGCGGAGTTGTCTCCCGTGCTCACGCGCTTGTACCAATGCTCGTATTCTTTGGGGCGTGTGCCGGAGACTTGGAGAGATGCTAACGTGCAACCGGTGCCCAAAAAAGGGGATCGCTCAGACCCGGCAAACTATCGGCCAATAGCAGTCACCTCAGTTTTATGTAAAGTTCTAGAAAAGGTCCTTAATAATCATCTGACCCGCTACCTAGAGGATCACTCCCTGATTAATGATCGTCAATATGGATTTAGACCGAAACGATCGACGGGTGATCTTCTAGCGTACTTAACTCATATCTGGGGTGAGGCTATCGACAAGCGTGGCGAGTCGTTGGCTATCAGCCTTGACATTGCCAAGGCGTTCGACAGGGTCTGGCACAAAAGCCTTCTCTCCAAGCTTCCGGCATACGGTCTGCCAGCCCAGTTCTGTTCTTGGGTAGCTGACTTCCTGCATGAGCGTAGAATTCGTGTCCTTACGGATGGTAGCAGTTCGCGGTTCATGTCAGTGAATGCCGGCGTTCCCCAGGGCTCCGTCCTATCCCCCACTCTCTTTCTGCTGCATATCAATGACTTGATTCCTCTTGGGAATATTCATTGCTATGCAGACGATAGTACAGTGCATGCGGGGTATCTCGGACAAGCAGCGGCTGGGCAGGCAGTAACCAGGGAGAAACGGGAAAATCTTGTCATTGAACTCAATCAGGCTTTGGACCACATTTCCGAATGGGGTACCAGGAACTTGGTTGGGTTCAATGCCAAGAAAACGCAGGCTTGCGCTTTCACGGCAAAAACATCGCCATTCCTTCCCCTTCCATCTCTTCAGGGCACAACACTACCGCTGCAGAGCAACATTTCCATGCTCGGTATGGAAGTTCGCTCAGACCTGAATCCAAAGGACTACATCGAAACCGTGATCAAAACAGCTTCACGCAAACTCGGAGTCCTGAACAAGGTGGGGCGTTTTTTCACGCCCGATCAACTGTGCTTGTTGTACAAAACGCAAGTGCGGTCCTGCGTGGAATATTGCTCGCACCTCTGGGATGGCTCCGCCAAGTACTTGCTCGATGCTTTGGATAGGTTACAGCGGCGCGCGATCCGCATCATAGGCGATGAGGAGGTGACTAAACACCTTGAACCTCTTCAATTACGCCGTGACGTGGCGTCACTAAGCGCGTTCTATCGTTTGTACCACGGCGAGTGTTCTGAGGAGTTATTCTCTCTTATCCCACCTTCCCCTTTCCTTCAGAGGACCACACGCGCTGGCCTACGTTGTCACCGTCTTACTGTGGCCACAATTCCAACGCGTACAAAGAAATTTGGTGACTCATTTCTTTGTCGCACTATCCGTAAATGGAATGCTCTGCCCGCTCACGTGTTCCCTCCCCCTTACAACCTGGGATCCTTTAAAAGAGGCGTGAAGAAGCAACATGCAGGCCGGCAGGGTGAGGATGGCTGGTGTGGCAGGTAGAACTGCTGTATCAGCTATCTTCGCGTCTGGACTTCACCTTCACTTAACATCAGGTGGGGTGGAGTCATTTGTAGG